AACAGTGAAATTTATTATCGTAAATCCATTGACCACAAATCTTGTACATGTATTTGTACATAAATCAATATCTCAGTAATCTGCTTCCATTATCTAAAAATTAATAGTGAGATGTTGATTTATTTTTCATTGTCTATGTGTACGTTTGACACGGTATGTAAACTTGTACATAATGAATCAATCAATTTGAGTACTTATAAAATTGGACAGCTTTCTTATGATCAATAGGAAATCAATAATTAATTGTGAGTTTTTCCACAAAATTTGCAGCAACTTAATGTGATGTAATAAAAAAAATTGGGTTCTACAAAAAAAAATTACCTTGAAAGGGACACTACAGTAATGTGCAGCTGAAAAAAAATCAGGTTCACAATGTAGGTAAGAGTTCCTTAAGGCCCACACCATAACTTTAATACTGATATTAACCTTCCATTTCCAGTGCTTTCCACCATTTTAATTAATAATTGGGGGGGTGAAGGGGAAGGGGGCATTAAGAAACTCAGGTGATAACCCTTGCTCAACTCCTCAGACCATTACTAAATACTGTAAAATGACTAATTTTCACTGGGTTTAAATTTCGCAGATTTACCATTTCAGGCATATTCATAGGGTTTTATATTCACGGTTTTATCATTTAGATAATGTGTTCTATGCTAAATTTTAATTTAGCGCATTTTCTAGTCAGCGAAATAAGCAAATTAAAACCCAGTGAATAATATAATAAAAATTAATATATAAGTGAATAATCCTTTTACAGTACCAGTAGTGTTTAGCCATAGACCTTAGAAAACAAGGTCTATGGTTTAGCAGTCTTTCTTTTCAGGTGTGTGATGTTGCTGTTTGATAACCTCAGAATTACAGTTTTTTCAAACAACGTTTATGAATTTTTGTGATGAATACTGTAATCATGTATACATATATGCTAATGAAAAAAGTACAACATACCTTCTAAATCATATTACATTAAAAGGAATTCTCAATGCCTTCATTCAGCGTCTATAAAGAAGGCAAATTTAATTTGCACAACTACATAGCAACCATTAAAGACATACATGAGTCATAGATTCTCACACTGAAATTAATTTACATACTGTAAAATACTTTATTTAAGCTGGAATTAATTTTCGCTGAAAAGACTTTTTGGGTGTTTTGTAATGGAATTTATTTTCACTGATTTTTTAACGAGTTGAATAAAAAATATAGGAAAAATCATTCCTTCAGCGAAAATTAATTCCAAGCAAAAATAATGTATTTTACAGTAATAAAGTATGAAATAATAAAAAACAAATACCATATTTTCTCAATTAAAAGTGCATCTCCAATAGATGTTCATTAAAACAAACAATTGCCTAAGATATTATTAATAATATAAAATCATGAAATAGTTTACCTCATAATGCATCTACCTGCAATATAATATAATTATTGAAAACATATTTTTTGCAAAGTTGTTCCTTAAAAACAAATACCATATTTTCTCTATTAGAAGTGCATCGCCAATAAAAGTGCATGTAAATAAACTTTTGCATTTTTGTATATTACTAGCACTGCGTTAATGCAAATTTAATAAATATGCACACAAGACTAACATGCCAGCTTTTTAGCAAATTCAGTGTCAATTGCTTGAAGTTGATTCTATTCTTTTTATACCAATAGTGAAAATATAAATACAAGTACAACTGTACTAGGTGGCATTATTCTTTGTAAAATAAAAAAAAATCAGTAAGAATTTATAAAATGAGTTGTCTAATTTATGCATTCATTGGATTTTTTCAGCAATAATCATATACCATCAGTTAGATTTGTCATATTGTTCCATCACTATGGATACTAGTTAATTGCCATGGAAACCTCAACCTTTTTAATAAAAGACACTCTACAAATTTGTCTTTTGTTCATTTTAGGATATATATCTATAAATTTAAGATTTTGAAAAATGAACACTATTTGTATATTTGATTTATTTCATATTTTTGTTTCTTCAGAAAATCTGAAGAAAAATATTTTTAGTAGTCAGTCGAGATTTCATTTTTTTTTTCTAAATCAAAATGGCCGCCAGAGTGCTATGAGGGATTTGCTGACACCATGGAAACAAGCTGTATTTGTTTATTGTTATGTAATTTGAGATATTACCAACCTGCATGTATATGGCTCAGAATAAATTAAAAATTTGTTAGTGTAGTACAAAAACCCTTATCATTCCAAATCAAATACAGCAAACTACCCTTTTGTGTCAGTTTACAAAATTACAATATATTATGCCTGCCCAATTACATGTTATTGTACTGTGTTTTGTACATCCTTTTAATTTTACTAAAGAAAAAAAAAATGTTTCGCTAATTCTGCGTGTAAGTAGAGGAAATGATGAACATTACTTGGGTTTTTTTCAACGTCTTACATAACTTTTCTGAAACCCACTCACTTCTGTCCCCCTTCCTTTCAGGTGATCAAATTACAAACATTTTGATTAATAAAATAATATTCTTCACAGTGTACAATATTTTGATGTTGCCATGGTAACACTTGATAAGCACTGATGTAACATATATACTTTTGGCATTGCCATGGTAACACTTGTTGAGCACTGATGTAATATATATACTTGGACTTTATCAGCATTTTCTATATTGTACTCTGTTTTATTCAGTGTGCTCGGAATATATTAATCTGCCCTCAAATATCGAATGAATCACGGTGAAATTGATAAATTTACACCTAATTGTGCTACATGAATGAAAGAAACTTTGCAGCTCACTGTGAAAATGTTATTTGAATTTTATATTCATTCAGTGACATGATGTTTGTAAAAACAATCCCTATTGTTATATGACATTGCTTCTAAATACAAAACGACTTATTTCGGGATAAATTAATTGTATTACCGTACCATTATTAGAATAAAAATGTTTCAAAAATTATATACATGCACGAACTTAACTATTTACATAAAAATAGCTATGTGTAGTGAAATGTTTTTTTGTTATTGGTTCGAAATTGTGTTGAAAGTAGGGTGAGATCAGATTTAAAAATGTAGAAAAAACATAATGCTATTGATACAATATAATAGTATGTATGATAAACCCTGTCAATTTTAATTGACTGATGTTAATGGAAAGTACTGTAAAATTACTAATTTTCACAGGGTTTAAATTTCACTGATTTACCATTTCTGGCATATTCAGGGGGTTTTACATTCACGGTTTTATCATTTAGATAATGTGTTCTATGCTAAATTTTACATATTCACCGGGTTTTAATTTCACTGATTTACCATTTCTGGCATATTCAGGGGGTTTTACATTCACGGTTTTATCATTTAGATAATGTGTTCTATGCTAAATTTTACATATTCACTGGGTTTTAATTTCACTGATTTACCATTTCTGGCATATTCAGGGGGTTTTACATTCACGGTTTTATCATTTAGATAATGTGTTCTATGCTAAATTTTACATATTCACTGGGTTTAAATTTCACTGATTTACCATTTCAGGGATATTCACTGGGTTTAAATTCATGGTTTTATCATTTAGATAATGTGTTCTATGCTCAATTTTACATATTCACTGGGTTTTAATTTAGTGCATTTTCCAGTCAGCAAAATTAAAACCCAGTGAATAATTAACCCTTTTACAGTAATGTCACTGTGTTTGTTGTCATCGTCGTTTACACATTGACAACCATAGCACTATATGTTGATAGGCTGTCCATATGGTGTAACATTTGTTGACTTCCAGTGTTATTGAATTTTATAGTGCATACTATGAACACACTAATTATTCCCTGGTTTTTCATTGATAAGCTACTGTAGAATACTTTATTTTAGCTGGAATTAATTTTCACTGAGAAGACTTTTTGGGCGTTTTGTATGGAATTTATTTTCACTGATTTTTGACAAGTTCAATGTAAAATATAGGAAAAAAGGTATATTTGCTGAATTTTATTTTCACTGAATTATTCCTTCAGCGAAAATAGCGAAAATTAATTTCAAGCGAAAATAAAGTACAGTAAATTAAATTCACTTATTATATGTAGAACAACAGAACTCATTGTTTCCTTGCCAAGTTGGTGAACTTCAAACCCAGTGAAATTACTCAAAACATCAAAATAGTGAAATTAAATGCCAGTGAAAATAGTTTTACAGTACCGCATTAACTAGATTTTTCTAAATGTAATTTTTTTTTTCCAACAGTGGACTGAAGACGGTTCCAGTTCTTTGTTCCGTACCGTTGTAGCCAACATTACCAACACTTACTGCAAATTACGTTTAGCAGATTGCTCGCTACAGAGTTACCATCCAAACAAGTACGTAAATGCAAATTTTTTTTCCAACCACAATTTTGATGTAAAATTTTGAATATTTTTATGCATTTATCTGGATTTTTTGGTTAATTTTGACCAAAATAGGCATAATTGTCTCCAGATCTTGATCAAAAATAGAAAAAAATACAAATGGAAAAAAAAATTTTGCAACTTGAAAAAAGTTGACTTCAATGATCAGAATTAGGGGGTTTAATCCTTACAGTTTTGTATGTCCCACTCTGCTTATATGTTATGCTGCTGCTCAGTGTGTCCTCTAAACAGGCCTGATTTAATAGAGATTGTAAGTCAAAATGCTTCCCTAGAGTTGAGTCAGTTTATTGATTGCTGAAGAGACAGTTAATTGAGCAAAAAAAAAAAAATTGTATACAACAATATAGGCTTATTTGACACAACTTTAAATGTTATAGCCTCTGATTTCCTTTGTTTTTAAACTTATTTTATTTATAAAATGTGAATCTTATGTTTTTTACGTAAGAAGATAAGCTGCTTATAGAGAAATATTATTTTCATAGTGGCACTTACCGGTAAATTAAAATGCAGCTTTGTAATCCCAGAGATTGCACCAATACATATACTGTAGAATACTTTATTTTCGCTTGGAATTTATTTTCGCTATTTTCACTTAAGGAATGATTCCGTGAAAATAAAATCCAGCGAATATACTTTTTTTCCTATACTAGTATTTCACATTAAACTCATCAAAAATCAGTGAAAATAAATTCCATACAAAACGCCCAAAAAGCCTTTTCAGCGAAAATTAATTCCAGCGAATATAAAGTATTTTACAGTAATATTTAAATAGCCCACCCATTGTACACGAACATTACCAGGTGTGTAATCTTATGTGTTAATATTTTACCTTACATTGCAGTGGCTGTATCTTGTCAAAAAAACTAAATTGTTAAAATGATTTTCATCTTTCAGTTCATTTACAGTTCATGATGTGATGATTACTGCTGGATTTCCCAGGGATATCAAAGGGAATGACCTTGAAGTCAAGTTTTATGTGATAATTCCAAGTGGCTCTGACATCACAGTGGCCAGTACAGACAATGTTATCGCATATGATACATTAAAAAGTAAGTTTTTCAATCTATTTTGTCAACTCTAATTTATTTCCAAAAATGTAATTAAACACATGTGTATTTGATTTTCGAGTTCCCTGTTTTCATCACAAATTCACAAAATAGTCATGTTTATAGTCTGCATTTTCCTTCAGAAGATTGGGAAAAATGAGGCACAAATTGATTCAAATATTGTCTGTTGGCTTTAAAATTAGGATTCATTTCCTGAAATATTGAAAAATATAAGAAAAAAAATGCAGAATGATTTGGGCAAGAAAATCTGGTGGTGAAATATTAGTTCAGTAGTTCTTTAAAATTTGCACTTGGCACATTGCCTACTGATGATGTTGTATTTGACCTTAAATGTTATGTTTTGCAGGTATAATAATGTCAAACGAGGAAATGATTGAACAGCAATTAGGTTATACAGTTATGTATATTGGAGACACATTAGTACTACCACCCATAGACCATACCATGAATGTTATAATGATACCCATATCATTTGCACTCCTGGTTATCGTCATTGTTGTCGCTATCGGTCTACAGTTGCATGAGTAAGTTCACTCTATTTTTTTTGCCTTTGAGGGGCTGTATTTAAACTGAACAACAAGGGTCAAAGGGTAAGCTAGCATGCCCTCTAAGTCATTCTGAAGAAAGCTGTTTAAAAAAAACTTTGATGATATTTTGCTTTTTCAGACAAAATACAAATTTTATTAGTGAAGATGGACTTGAAAACTATGTCAGTTTATATTTCTGATGTTTACTGCAAATGTAACTTTTTTTGAAACTGAAAAAAAATCATTTATTGCTGTTTTATTATTTTGAAAAAAAGCCAAAACTTTGTTTGGGAAAGTGTCATTCCCACAGAAACAAGCATTTTTGGTTTCTCTGCTTTGTTTAAGATGTGCTTCTATGAACAGATGAAAGTCCTTAAGGAGAAAGATAACAAAGCCATTTTATAGGTTTGCCATTGAGGGCAGGGCGCACACAGAAAAAGAGTATGAGCACTGTATTTAAATGTATGGTGGAGGTCACAATAGTTAGACCTACACAATTGGTAAAAAAGTGTGGAAAGCTAGAAATAATACAGATCTGGGTCTGAAATAATTACAGTAAATGTTTTTTTTCAATTTTATTTTGTGAAAAGACGCTGTGATTCACCATCTTAACAATTATATAATGATTACAGAAACTAGCTCCTACAAAGTTTAATTTATTTTTTTTTCGTAGCTGCCGAAATTCATGAACATTTGTTTCATGTGAAATCAGGGCAGTTTAGAATGAAATCAAATGCATATCAATGATTTATTGAAAAGAAATACTGTGGTAATTCACTTTGAAATGAATAATGTTATTATTTGAATTTTTAAACTTGTTTTTCTTCCAATAGAAAGCGTAGAGATAAAGAATTACATAAAGCCAGAAAAGCTAGGCGAAGCAAGATCAGTCCAACCCCTGAGAATACTGAAGATGGTTACCCAATGAAAACAGTTGCCGCGGCAACCAACGGTGAACAGTCAGCATATCATGAGAAAACGAAAAGCGAGAAGAAAAAGAAAAAGAAGAGAAATGATGAGAGAAGCGGTGATGACAACAAGGGATATGCGGCGACACCAAACGACTACAACATTAAACCCAATGACCAGTCGACCATGAAGAGTGGTAAGAATAATTAATCCTGTTGGTTAATTAATTAATTAATTAAAACCATAAAACCAAATGGTCATTTGATTGGATAATATATGATGACTATTTGTAAACAGATTTTCAGCATGTTCTCTCAATATGATGATCTAATCGCAGCTCACATTACCTGTTGGTTGATGTACAATCCAACGTTTGGCGAATTCGACTTCATTTCGAATAGTGATAAAATTGATGGGAGGGGGAGGGGTCACTAATGGGATTCACATTTGAATCACACATCTGTAAAGGTGTGTACTTATTTAGCATACCTACCAATAGTGTAAGTATATAAACAATGTAAAGTGACCATAAAAGGTACTAAAAAAATTGTCATTTCTAGACAGGTTGTCTTTCTACAGAGGTTGAGTAATTAGTTTGTAAATTAAAGTACAAGATGAATTCTCCCAGATTAAGAGATATTTAAAGATTTGTCATAAAGAACAATCTGCTTATTTGTTTCGAATTTGTTTCGGGTAAAGACTCTTGTAAAACACTAAACATGTCATCTTTTTCCATCCATTTTGGTCTTCATTCACTGATTATTTGTCACTCTATTGCCAAAACTTGTAGACTGCAATAAATAAATATTGGGTTTATTTAAATCTGGAACAGTATATTGTTAACTGTTTAATTTTCGCTGCTATAAATTTTCGCAACTTCAAGATTTTCTGGTGATTTTCGTGATCGCGAAATTTCACAAAAAATCACTGACGCTCTATGTCAGAGGAATTTTCACTACTACAAAATTTGTGATTTTTACGACTAGCTGAATTCGCGAAAATTGGTTTACAGTCTCCTACAGTCTATATGAATATCAATAAACTAAAAAAAAATTGCCGTCAATGATGGTGAAATTAAAAGAATCATCTCAAATGTTATTTTCTAGATAAAAACTATGATGAGAATCTCGATGGCTACCATGGTAGTAAACGGTACGACGAGGAGGACAAGTGGGATAGATCCGAGTCAAAGCGATCAAGCCGAAAATATGATGATGCTTATGACAGCATGGAAGATACCGGTCGTAGTAGGAGACACCATAAGAAGAAAAGGAAGCATCGAAGACACAGAGACGGGAGTTCAGAAAATGACACAGATTTTAAACCACCCAGTCACTTACCTCCTATGGATGAACCAATCAAGCGCCATACAACGGAAATTTAAATTTCTTCAAATGTGATAAAATACCTTTAATTTCTATGACTGTGAAATAATTACAAGGACCAAGTGTTGCACAACTATGAGGGACTACTTTTGTCTAGGGTGTAATTAGGAGTTAAATCACGATTAGACAAACAAACAGACAGACAGACAGACGGACGGGCGGACGGACAGACAGACAGATGATCAAAAATACAGAAAAATTTAACAGTAATAACATTTTTTACTGAAATTGTAAATAGTTATAATCCTTTATAGTATTTCAACCACAAATAATGTGAATGCATTGCCATAGTAACACATAAAGATGTTTTAGACATAAATTATATTGCAATACTAGGAAGTAATTAATTCATTGTAATTATTTTGTAATAATTTGTAAATACGCAGATAACGAATATATGGAGGAGGGGTGTGAATGTTTGTGAATTTGACAAATATTTTAAACAAGGGACCACCATGGCTGAAATTTATTTATAATTTAACATGAAGTTTAAGTTCAGAAATAGAATAGAATAGAATATGCATACTGTATTTGCTTTATTAGTAAATTAGACGTATAATGCACATGCATAATTCAGTGTATAACTACTGTAAAAGGATTAATTATTCACTGGGTTTTAATTTTGCTTATTTCGCTGACTAGAAAATGCGCTAAATTAAAACCCAGTGAATATGTAAAATTTAGCATAGAACACATTATCTAAATGATAAAATCGTGAATTTAAAACCCACTGAATATGCCTGTATTGGTAAATCAGCAAAATTTAAACCCAGTGAAAATTAGTCATTTTACAGTAAGGCAATTTGTTGGTATATGCACACTTAGAGATGAGTGTCTAAACTAGATGTAGATGTACATGACACAATTTTCAGGTAGGAAAAGTCACTTCTTAATGTTTAACAATAATATCACTACTTCCAGGGTTGGTACGAGTTTAACAAATTTAACATTGCATTGATTCTTTTTAATATAAATTATTCTGTAAAATACATGGCATTCTGATCTAAATCAGTAAACAGCGTCACATTATCTCTAATGCTGATATTGTGAAATAATTGATATTTATTTACTGGGTTTTAACAAGCCAAGATATTCTCTTGTGAATAAACTCATTTTAACTTTGTTAAAGCTATTTAATATGATATACTCTAAATCACTTAAAAAGTTACTTAAGAACACCCCCCCCCCCTCCCCATACCTAAAACTTCCCCCCAATGTAATTGTATATGCCCCTCCAGTTAACTATACATGTTCTGAAGAGGGACATATACAATTTATTAAAACGAGGGGAGTTATTGGTTAGGGGCCCTAACAAACTACCAAACAATATGATTTCAGAAACATTTTCACTACTTGCGATTTTCGCAAAATTCCAGAGAAAATTTAAATTAGTTTACAGTTTTTTGTAATAGGTTTACACTACAGTGAAAGGAAGATCATTATTTCACATTTTAATTTTTTCAACACCAAAAAAAAACGTTTTACTTATATTCTTTAATATTTCTGGAAATAAACCCTAATTTTGAAGCCAACAGACAAAATTTGAGTAAATTTTTGGTTTTTACTCAAAAAATTTGGCTACTTTTGTTAAAATCTTCTGAAAGAAACTGCAGACTAAAAACAGGACTATTTTGTGAATTTGTGATGAAAAGAGGGAACTGGGGGTGAAAGGGTTAATATCTGAAATGAAATGCCTGAACACGTACTTTCCAGAGATACCAATTTTAAGAAATGTTTACACAGTGATCACTTTACTTATTCAACAGTGTAATTTAATATATTATCAGAAAAAAAAGTCTAAAAATATTATTTTAGCATGTTTTAATTTTTATTGACATTTCGCAGACAAATGTAAAAAGTACATATTCTGCTGTGATTATGTAAATTCAGTTAATTATTTTATTTGTGCCAAATAAGTAGTGGATTATTCAAAATGGAAACTCATTTTACTAACAGGGTAAGTTTTGTAATATGGTTTTTTGTATATATTAAAAATGTGTTGAAAAAATGAATAATTGTAACCTTTTATAGCTAATTTGTTAAATTTAGAAGAATGTTTTTATTTGTATTTTACTTTACATCCTTGTTCATCAAATGGTCACTAAAATATATAGCAATTTCATTTGCATAAACATTACAATTTTAAACTATTTACCACCATGGATGACACATGGTTGAAATGGTACAGGTATAAACACCAAGGTTCACTTCATTTACTTTTTACAAAAATAAAGTCTCAATTTTTTTTTTCTCAAAAAATGTTATCAAGGCGTCTGGTAAATAGAAAATTATGTGGTTTGGCCCAAAATTAGGAAATAAATTATAGAAAATATATTAAATTTTGTAGAATGTTCCATTCAAATTTTGGCGGGGAAAATTTAAAGTGACTATATAGTTACTTTATGTAATGGTGGTAGTCATAGTGACATAGATTGTAATGTTATTTGCAGAAAACTAAAAAAAATTGTTATTTTATTAAAAATAAAAAAGTACCTCAAATAGGTGATTTTCCGTACAATTGCGAGATCTCGCGAGATGCATGAAAGTCGCGCGTCGAACGTCTGCCGCAAAAATCGAACGATTTGATTTTCATCTCGAATTTCTTTATTTCATAGCTCACATCGACAGGCCGATCTTCGACAGAGGAATATTGCTGCCGAATATCCTCACTTTATCGAAATTGCCCATCATCAAATGTGGACAGCACATTATTAAGCATGGAAATGTCCCCGTAATACTTTCGCGTTTGTCGAATCCCACGCGATGTTTGACGCCACTACGACGCTATGACCTTTTTTTGTCCTGTTTTTACGTTCGATTTCATGCATAACGCGTGATTCTCGCAGTGTACGGAAAATGGTCTATTTCCAGCTTATAGAAGCTGTTATTTTAATAACAAATGATTTCAATGAAATCCTAATATGTCACCTAACTCGTTAACCCCTTGTCGTCATCCGCCCTTTACCCAGATCATAAAATTTCTGTGTTGATGGCACATGAAAAGAAAATTATTTTCATAATTTTATTAAATATAATATAAATACTGCACATAGATTTAAATAAAATACATGACATTCATATTTCATTGACCATTTCTGTAAATTTGTTATTTTCCATAAAATCTTTAAAAATTTTAAATAAATTTTGTTTTTTAAACTTCAAATAATGATAATTATAATTGGATTAAGTTACAGAGCACATTTTTATTCAGGGTCATTTCTATCAATTTAGAATGTCAAAAAACATTTCAAGTTGTTTTTGTCTTGCCAGATGTGTTTTGTATACTGTTAATACTTAAAAAACTCATTTATTTTGTGATTGCTGCAAAAACACTTTTTAAGTGCCTTTAATGGTTGGTTTACTAAACATAACACTTTTTGTTATGTTTAACTGCTCGTTGTACATCACTGAATACTTCTAATATTTTGAGAAAGTACACTTGAGAAACTTTCATGTATGGTGTATTTTGTACCCCCAGAAATACCAGGATGTGTGACCTCTTAAAGGTAGTACCGGTACATATGATTCTGACAGTTACAATTAGGGCAAAGGGCACGATTGGATTAATTACAATAAAGTACAGAAATATTACGTGATATTTGCTTAAAATATGACTGACACATAGTTTTGTATACTTAAAGAGCGATGCTCGACCTGCAGCACGTGTTTGAATTTCTTGTAAACAAACGATGTATTTTACATGCGCTGTGTACGTTGCTATGAGTCCCATATCGAACAGGACACAATGCAATGCAACGACACCGTGCTTTATTGCATGTCATTGAAGTACGGGCCACTTTTATATAGCCAGCTGATCTGATGTAGGTATAGACTCAAATTTTCATAAACGTAGTCATAAATAAACAAAACCAATAATAAAATATATAAATAAAAAAAAATTGGAGTTAATATCGGTTTTTAGTCAGATGGCATATATATCATATTGGTCCACAATTGTTTAAAATTGGGTAATGAATATTTATCAGATTTATGTTAATTAGTTGTGATCAGGTGACAGTAAAATTCTGGTAAAATTGTAGCTGTGTTAAGGATGACAAAATATGTGCTAGTCGAATTTAGGTAGAAATTTCTGAAAAAGTTGCATGACAATGTTCATTGTGTATAACCATTAAGCTATCGTCTCACGGCACCATGAAATATCATTATTTTGTGGTTACAGTGAAATATTTTGAGAAACATGTCTATTTTTAGAGCAATTTCGTAAAGCACAATGTTAAAGAAGAATTGCATGCTTCAACAGATTTTTGAAATAATTGAGGCCAACAAAAAGTACACCATCATTCGCAATATATCATTTTTTCAGCCTGTGTCACCAGACTACAATTTCAGATATGGCATATTATCTTCCATATACTGTAAAATACTTTAATTTTGCTGAAGGGATGATAAAATAAAATCCAGCGAATATACCTTTTTTCCCATCTTTCGAATTCCTCTCGCCAAAAATCAGTGAAAATAAATTCATACAAAACACCCAAATTGTCTTTTCAGTGAAAATTAATTCCAACTAAAATAATAAAAAAAGTATTTTACAGTATGCATATTGTAAATATATATAAACTAAAATTTGTTTTTTTTTTATTTAATTTGTAACAATTGTACTGTAGTTAATTTTAACATACATATTTTTTCAGATAAAATATTTTTTGTAGTAATCTTAAAATGATGAATTTCCAAATAAAGCTGGCGAAAAAGAAGTCTTGTTTTGTCTTACACGATTATATGGTAGGATCAGTAGCTGTGAAATTTGTAGCTGCCATCTGGTGGAGATGGGGTCAAAGGGTCATCTTGTAGGGCATGTGTGAGATATGGGTTTCATATCAACAATGATGGGGACTTTGATTTTTGTGCAGGGGAGAAGCTTGTTTGTAAATAAGGACACGCTATGGTCATCTGACGCATGCTCAGGTGACGACTCCCCCGCTTTAAATAGAGCAACTTTGTTTTTGTTTTTTCCCTGAAAAATTCCAAATTATAACGTCCGTCGTCGTCTGTCGTCCGTGTCAATGTTTCACTTTTTCGACTTCTTCTCGAAAACTACAAGCCTGAATGCTTTGATACTTGGTGTATGTATCTTGGGTAGACCTCTCTTTGTTCATTTCATGATGATATCTTCAATTCTCTAATTTTGGTGAATATTTTTGTCATTTTTAATAAAAAGTGATATTTTCGACTTCTTGTTGAAAACTGCTAGTTCGATTGTTTTTATATTATATATATATAGGTACTACATGTGCACCTCTTTCAGACTTGTTAATTTCGTGGTGATATCTTCAATTATCTAATTTTGATGATTACTTTTGTCATTTTTGGTGAAATGGGATATTTTTGAATTCTTGTTGAAAACAGCAAGTCCCATTGCTTTGATACTATACATATTGTTCATTTTCTAATGATAACTTCTGTTCTTTAATTGAAAT